ACATCAATATCTGACGACTATCTATATTGACGGCTCCGTGGCGCAGTGGCTTAGCAATGAGTTACAGCGCCGCGGGTTCGAATCTCGCACGGAACAAATATTTTTATGGCCTACAATTAATTTTTCCGGGTCTGGATGTTTGCCCTTGTGAAATTTATGTTTGTAAACTGCTCCCACGATACGGGAGAAAATCCTAGTGTGGATGTAATGTTTAAAAAAAAAGAAAAGAAACATATCTATCCTCAATTAAGAATTAAATTGCAGATGCGTTATTACACCTGAGGACTAAGATGGAATGACTTTCATGATGATGTAAGTATTGCATTCCTTAAAATCATCAAATTAAAATTCATTTATTTGCCTTGCATCAACACAAATTTGCCTGCATCGTCAGGACCTATAAGCAATACTTATACATAAAATTAAGAAAATATATTTTGTATCTAAATATGATGTCATTAACAGATCAGTGGCGCAGTGGCTTAGCTTAGTAAGTTGTAGCGCTAAGGATCGCTGGTTTGAATCCCGTACGAAGCAAGTACGTATATAGCCTACAAATAATTGATCCGTGCCTGGATCTTTGTCCTTGTGCAATTATTTATACCTCCGTGGTACAGGAGAAGATCTAAATGTGGGAGTGAATTTAAAAAAAAACATAAAGACGTATTATGTAGGTAGCGGTTTTCCAACCATCACTCTATTTAGGTCTATGAGTCGTAAGAGGCGAGAGGCACTTCCTGGCTTCTGATAGATGAATAAGTAAACCATCTCGTATGTGAACTTGCGATTACCAACCCGTTTGCCAAGCGTGGCGATTAGGTAAGTCTTTCCCCTTACGGTGGAGACCCATGTTAAGCCGAGGTCTTTTAGGGGATGATAAATATTTATTTACATTCTTGGCTTCAGTAAACCTAAAAATCAAGTAATATCAGATATTTTCCCTTTAAATGATCTTAATGTTCACTTTTCTTCATAATATGCTTGTCTCCCATCCCACAATAAAATGAAAACTATTTCGGATATTACTTCCATGTCATCTCCGCATACTGATTCATTTACTTTTTGTACTTTCACCGAGGAGGTTGTTTTAACAGTATTAAACAAACCTAAGTCAAAGGCAGTAGGTCATGACAACATAGGGCGCACCATGATATCGTATGTTTTAGAATATATTGTACCAATTTTAAACTCTATTATAAACCGCTCATTGCTTACTTGGGAGTTTCCTTTATGCTGGTAGAAGGCCTTTCTTCTCTCTCTTCCAAAAATCTCTATGCCCAGTGCCCTCATCCACTTCCGTCCTATCTTGATTTTGCCGCTTTTATCAAAACTTTTAGAAGCTGTAGCGCACAAACAGATACAAACTTACTTAACTAAAAGCAACTTATTAAATCAACACCAATCAGGATTTCGACCTGGACATAGCACCATAACGGCGCTTTTTAAAATAGCGAAGGATGTGCGTGATAACATGGGGTTTGGAAAGTTGACGGTGTTAGTCTTAATCGATTTTTCTAACGCCTTTAATACCGTTGACCATGATATTTTCATCGCCATCTTGTCCTACATAGGTTTCTCCTTATCAGCACGGAATTGGATATCCTCCTATCTTTGTGGTCACCAGCAAGCGATCCATGTCGACGATATGGTTTTCGATTGGTGTGACTTAATCACGGGTGTTCCGCAAGGCGGAATTCTCTCTCCATTACTATTCTCTATATTAATTATATGATTACTAGCAACTTTCGAGCCTGCTACCATATGTATGCCGACGATTTGCAACGGTATGCTCATGCCAATGTTACTGACATAAATAATGCTGTAAGCGTGATTATCTCCGACCTTAGTTGGATTCTTAATTGGTCAAGAAGGTACGGGGTCAATGTTAATTCTAGCAAATGCCAAGCTATAGTTTTAGGCAGCGCACGTCATTTAGTTAAACTTTATCACACATCACTAAATCCACTGATTTATAATGGCGAGGTAATTCCATACAGCATTCGTGTTAAGGACTTGGGATTGATCTTGGACTGTTCTCTTACTTAGCGTAGTCATGTTGAGGAAGTAAGCCGTAAAGTTTGTGCTACTTTGAGACAATTGTACAGATTTAGAAATATTTTATTTAAGAAAGTTCTAATTCAATCTCTTATTCTTCCTATGTTTGATTATGCTGATGTGTGTTACTTAGATGCGGATAATTACTTAGTCAATAAATTAGATCGACTTCTCAACAACTTCTATCGCTCTCAACTTAAATATTCACTTTAATATCCCACAACGCAAGAATCTTAGAATTCTTAGCACTCTTTTCACATTAGGCCCCAGAGTATTTGAAATGTAAGTTTCAATACCTGGGTTCTTCCCATAATTGCTATCTTCGCTCCCATAACAATCTCATACTGCAAATTCCTTCTCACCGTACTGGTTTTCTCTCAAACTCTTTCGCCGTTATAGCTGTACGACACTGGAATGCGCTTCCCTTACAAATAAGAAAATCTCCTAACATTTTTTTTCACCTTGGCCCACTGTAGTTTACGCTTCTCCCACTAATTTTCCGATTGGCTGGTATAAAATACCATATGGCATTAAGTCCGCCGTTTGTACCTTTAGTACAATAAAGTGTATAATAATAAATAAAGAAGATTGTTGTGTTAAATAAACTGAAATACTATTATTTGTATTATGATTTTTATACCTTTATGATCGTAGTGATTATTTTTTTTTTGTATGGGGTGACAAACAGGCACACAGTCCACCTGATGGTAAGTAGTTGCTGCGGCCCAGCAGCACACAGCAGCGTTAAGCTACTATTTTACGCTGGTATTCTGTGAGAGCGTGGTCCTTCCCGGGCCTAGCCGACCCATTCGTGCTACAACTATACTACTAATATAACTGCAGCATGGCTCTACCACGTATAAATAAGTGATAATATAAAGAAAATGGATTAAGATATGATACTAAAAGGAAAAGAGATTAAACAAGTGATTAGAAAGTGAAAAGGTAGGAATAAATAAAAGCAAATTTAAAGTAATAATACAATTTGTATTTTTTGAAATTATACAAGTAATCGGTTATGTGACATTATAAGCAAACGCCATTACGCTATCGAATGGTATTTTAAACATTTCAAACAATATTTACAAAGGTAAAGTGGTCCACTGATTTATTACCCAAATGTCGGGTAAAATGTCATTATTTTAATTACAAACAAAATCTTAAATTAATATTAAAGTAGTGACTGAAACATATCAAGGTGGGATAACATTAGGACTTGACTTTAATTAATAAGATTCTTACAAAAATCAAATTATATTGAAGCTACAATATTTACAAGTTCCTTCAACCATACAACGACAAAGAAATAATAAACAAGACATTAGACTACTCGTAGTGTCTTTGAGTAAGATCGCTTGAAATTAATATTGATTAAAGAAATAAACACTATCAAGATATTTTAACTTTTACTATGGAGCAATAATTTATTAAGGTCATCGTTAAATGCGATGGAACCTATAATTACGCCATGTACGCAGAAATTATCTTAACCTTTTTAAATATTTACATAGATAATATATTTGAAAAAAAATGTGTCACAATAAATGAACTACTTTAATACAACAAAAAGAAATAATTTTAGTTTACACTTCAACAATATTTTTATACTTATATAATTTAGTAATGGATAATCATTTCAGTTTTCAAAAAATCAAAAAAAATATAATTTGAATTTGAGACATAATTAACTAAACATTGTTGTAAAGTCATCATAATACGATACGTGCATTGACTGTGGTAACAATAATAATTCAGCTATAAGAAAATTGCAAATGCACCATTTATAATCACATAGAAGTTTGATTAAATATTTTTTCCTTAAAATCTATATGCATATTTGAATAACAGTGGTTTTTTACAAAGGGAAATTTCAATCTATCTTTAATAAGCCTCGTACCAAAATACTCTGACCCACTTCATTTACGTACTCCCAAGCGTGAGCCGCTTTCAACCAACAAAATTTTCTGCGCCGTGCAGAAAGAAAAGAAACTCCTGTCTCGGAGTGAACAACAAGATCCAGTTAACAGCCATGATGAAGCAGTTCATATGCTTAGCGACGGTCTTTTCTTCCTCACACTTTTGTTGCTCAAACCGAGAATCGTGCCAATTACCTGTGAGAAATATAAATAATTGAACGATTTTGGTTGTTTAACCATATGTATGTTACTTGTGGGTAGGTGGTTGCTTTTGGCCAAAAGTAGCTTTAGTAAAGTACGAATAATAATTAAAATAACTTTGAACCCCTTTAACTTTGTCAAGATTCGAAAACATCTGACAGGTTATACGTATCAAAAACAGTAGATTAAGTTGCGGCTGCGACAGAGGTATTTCTATATAATTAAAATTATTAGAACTTTACTTAAAATTCATTAGTAATTCTACGTAAATAAGGTTAACCAAGGTTTATTTCTTCTACCGTCACCCGAGATTCAGCCCAAAAGTGCACACTGCTCTTGTTGTACTTCATACTGTTAGTGTTATAGACGAAGGAAACATGACGAGGAGTAGACTGCGAGCTTGCTGGGCAGCACAGACAGCGGTAGGAACTGACATGAGATAGTTTTGTACCATGCGTGAGTTACCTTGTAGACGAAGTATGCCGCGATCTTGTAGCACGGAGTATGCAGCAGTAACCTTGCAGCAAGAAGCTGATAGTAAGCTTGTAGAATAACGGCGTGAGCTGCAGCAGCGCGTAGAATGAGATTGTGTTAAAAGTGGAATGACGTACCTTAGAGACGGAGTAGGCAACGAGTTTATGGTGCGCGCTTCGCTTTGTTAAATGGAGCGTTACGTACCTTAGAGACAGAGTAGCCAGCGAGCTTGCGACGTGGTGCGGGTAGCAGCAGCGCTAATGCTCGCGCCTTCCGCAGTAGCGCGTGGAACGCAATTACGCAATAGTGTTGTATGGTGTGTGATGTACCTTGGAGACAGAGTAAGCAGCGAGCTTACGGCGTGGTGCGGGTAGCAACAGCGCCAGTGCTCGCGCCTCCCGCAGCAGCGCGTGGAACGCAATAGTGTTGTATGGTGTGAGAGGTACGGTGGAGACAGAGTAGCCAGCGAGATTGCGGCGCGGTGCGGGTAGCAACAGTGCCAGTGCTCGCACCTCCCGCAGCAGCGCGTGGAACGCAATAGTGTTGTATGATGTGTGACGTACCTTGGAGACAGAGTAGGCAGCGAGCTTGCGGCGCGGTGTGGGTAGCAACAGTGCCAGTGCTCGAGCCTCCTCGCAGCAGCGCGTGGAACGCAATAGTGTTGTATGGTGTGAGACGTACCTTGGAGACAGAGTAGGCAGCGAGCTTGCGGCGCGGTGCGGGTAGCAACAGTGCCAGTGCTCGAGCCTCCCGCAGCAGCGCGTGGAACGCAATAGTGTTGTATGGTGTGAGACGTACGTTGGAGACAGAGTAGGCAGCGAGCTTGCGGCGCGGTGCGGGTAGCAACAGCGCCAGTGCTCGCGCCTCCCGCAGCAGCGCGTGCAACGCAATAGTGTTGTATGGTGTGAGACGTACGTTGGAGACAGAGTAGGCAGCGAGCTTGCGGCGCGGTGCGGGTAGCAGCAGCGCGTGCCACAATAGTGTTGGTGTGGAGTACCTGGCGCCTCCGCGCAGCAGCGCGTGCAACGCAATAGTGTTGTACGGTGTGAGACGTACCTTGGAGACAGAGTAGGCAGCGAGCTTGCGGCGCGGTGCGGGTAGCAGCAGCGCGACTAGTGTACGGGTGACCTTGGGCTCGAGCTTGCGGCGCGGTGGGTAGCAGCACGCGTGGAACGCAATAGTGTTGTACGGTGTGAGACGTACCTTGGAGACAGAGTAGGCAGCGAGCTTGCGGCGCGGTGCGGGTAGCAGCAGCGCGTGCAACGCAATAGTGTTGTACGGTGTGAGACGTACCTTGGAGACAGAGTAGGCAGCGAGCTTGCGGCGCGGTGCGGGTAGCAACAGCGCCAGTGCTCTTGCCTCCCGCAGCAGCGCGTGGAAGGCTAGCGCTGCGCCCGCGCTCGACTCCGCAGCCGACACCTCGTAGAACTGGCATCCGAACCGTAGCGACAGCTCCTGACCCTCCTCAGCATTGACAACCCTATTATGAAATGATAGCTGCTTAGTATTATTTTAATCAATCTCTGATTCTGTGTGATCTGTTGTCGGTTATTGAAAAAAAAAACTTTCACACAAAATATCATTATAAAGTGTTTTGATACGTGGTAAAGCCACACTGCAGCTATTTAATAATGAGTCGGCTCGACCTTGGAAGGACGTTGCTCTCACAGAATACCAACGTAAAATAGCAGCTTAATGCTGCTGTGTTTCATTATTTTTAATATTTTACTAACCTTGCATGTTCTAAATCTCTCTTGTTCCCGAGTAATGTCACAGCAGCACAACTAGGAAGCCTTGTTCGCTCTAACAGAGAAAGCAGCTCGGATGCTGCCAAGAATGAGCGTCGATCGCAAACTGAATAAACCACAACAAAAGCGTCGCCCCAACGAAGGTGTTCCGCGAGACATCCTCGTTTCTATTTAAGAAAAATTAAAAATTAACTTAAAAATGAAAATATTTAAATCAATAAACGTAATTAAAAAGCATATCAAAAATGTTTACCGCACAACCACATGTATCCAAAACTTCTACTTCTGATGTGGCTCCGTCAAATGCAACCCGATGTTGATATAAGAAATCTGCAAAACATTTCATACCTTCAGTACATTAATAATAATAATGTCTTTGCCTCAACGGAGGCTAGCCATCGGCGCAGGACAGGATTATAGTGCCCAAGTGTATGCGCAAGCACAAGTGCACTCTCTATTCCCTCACTCTCATAATCCGATGGGACGGTAAACCGACACGACCGAAGAGAGATCAGGCGCAGGACCAACGGCTTTACGTGCTTTCCGAGGCACGGGGGTGAGACACCGCCAACTTCCTAACTCCGGGCAGCTACTGAGAATTTTTTGACGGAAAAACTCAATAATTGATTTTTTGGCTCATGTTCAGCAGTCGCACCACTACAACCAACGAGGCAGTCATTACAGATCAGATCAGTACATTACAGATTGTATGACAATCGAGTGGCCTGGTCGTAAGAGTAGTATACAGAATAAATTAGAATAGTATAGAATAATATAGGATATGATACAACAGGATAGAACAGAATAGAATAGAACAGGACAAATTAGAATAGAACAATTTTTAGAAAATACCCCTATCCTGGGAAGACCCAGTAAGAAGCCCAACGGGATTGAATTAAATATAATGATCACCGGTCCTGGGTTTAATTCTCAGACGAAGCCAACATTATTTATGTTTACAAAACACAAGTTGTTGGTCTGGTTGTATTGTTGTTATTCAGTATATCATATCACTGACACCGCATTTCAACATTCTTCCTATCTTTTCTTGGAAGTGTAATATCGAGCATAAGTAGGCTAGAACACTGTTGATATCTTTTGCATAGTTGACATCACTTCTTACTCTATGCAAAAGTTTTCGCCGCGGACGCAATTAGTGAGATGAATATTTATCTTAATTATAGTGACTCTAATGACTACTATTGGGATAACGTAATATTATGACTTAATATGTAATTTTTTCTCAAAACATTTACTGTACAGCCTAGTACTGTATAAGTAATAGCAGATAAAACAAAAGGAACAAGACGTTAATAGTGAAGATCTAAGATCATTTGGATTGTATTCATATATTTTTGTTTCTAGTTACTTTATTTATAACTCACCACAAACATATAATTAATAAAAAAAACATTAAAACGATAATTGACATTGATTCAAGATCAAATAAATTATCGTAATCTCATTGTTTTTCATTTAAAATTTTTACGTAAAGTCAACGGCCGTATGATATCGGGCGCCGGCGTCGCTCAGCCTTGGCATGACGCTCCGCCAACACAGTTGCCAATATTCACAAATAAACTCTTACAATGGCATCCAGAGCTTGGCATTAGAAACAGCAACCCTCTTGGAGGGCCCATCATCGAACCTATTAATATCTGTCTGTCGCGTTTTGCTAATAATTATGTCCATACAATCTCTAGATTCGCGTTCTAACGCTCATTACAAGTTATGTCGAATTACAACAGTTATACTCACCACCAGTGGAGCTATATTCTCCAATATAGCGCTTTGTGAGGTATCGTACGACGATAGCTGTAACAATACAAATATAAGTTATTATCTTACCATGAAAATTTAATAATATTTAAATCACCTTTACGCAATAAATAGATACCACCATTTTCTACCATAAGTCATAATTAAAATACCCATCTAAAAAAAATTAAGCCCGTTAAGAACGATTTTACTAGAAACGAAGCATTCCATCTTAGTCCTCACGTGTGACAGCGTATCTGCATTTTGATTCGTAATCGAGAATAGATATAGATGTCTGTAGGGCACAGCAATCACTTAGCACCGGTTGGACTGTGTGCTCGTTTGTCATAAATTATAAATTAAAATATTCTACATACGCTGCACTTTATGAGAATGAAACTATAGTCCTATAAAAATAAGCTCGCATAATAATTATACTTTGACGATAATTAATTTTCATATGAATAATTAATTTTAATATGAATAAGATGAGAGGCATCTCTACATGATAAAAGAAATCAATGGTATTGGTTTTATCAACAAATAATCCGCACCCTTTGTCAACGAAAACAGTCGTTTATCTAGTAGTGCAGAAGGTGCAGTAATATTGATATCATTTTACAGTTGTGTAGAAAGTAAAACCATTTCTATAATGATTTATATTTTATCTTTCTAGATAAAACATATCATAACTAATGAAATTCTTGTTTGTAGTACTACAGAGAAAGCTGCAATTAGCAACTCAACGGCAAAAGGTGTTACAAAAGTTGTATTTCTGAATCAATTTATAACTACAAGTGTTAATTAGAGGGAAAGCATACAAAGGGTTTTACGTTAATACTAATGGTTAAACTCCGACCAATTCCCAATTAAGCACTAAAACTGTACGCAGCAATTATCTGTTAACAGTTAAAACAAGTAACTATGCAAATTTCATCTGAAACAAGTAACTGAAGACAAAACGAAGCAGAATAATATCTTAACGAGTCAATTTCTAATTCTCTACTTACAGATTGATTCAAAGATTTCATATTATTGTAATTGGCTAAGAGGATTCTGTCGTGTACGGTGATTGCTGGAGTTTGAACAACAGAACAAAAGGTTAGTCCTAACTGTTTAAAAACCACTGAATATTGAATTTGATTGTATATCGGCGTTTTCGGTGTTTAAGTACTGTTATCCAAGGGGCTATTACAGTTTCATCGACTCATGTAATATTATATAACGGCATATATTGCAATAGGGTGCAATAGCGGCGCAATTAATATTTAATTCGAGAGGATAAAGGAAATCATTGGTATAAAGGTAAAGTAGAAAATAAAGTATAAAAAAATACCATAAAGGCGACTAGGGGGAAAGACCAAGAAAGGAGTGTAAAATTAAGGAGTACCATTTCGCATAGTAGAATAGTTGAAAAAGTCAAGGTCATCTGTAAGCAGTAAATAACAGCTCAAAAACTCTCCACAACAGCGCTAGAGTAGCTACTGGGATGAAATGAACATTTCATCCCAGTTGTCGACGGTTTAAGTGTGCTGCTAAACTGCTCAGTAGCTCTAAAATCTAAAATAATTTTATTTAGTAAATATAACCTCGAAAAAGTCGTCTATCCCACTAATATTTTTCAGTGCGTTCTTTAAAATTTACCCCGTAGCTATAGTGGCGCCACCCTTATTTAAAGGTTTTATGGACACTTTTTAATACACAGTCTGTACTCCTTACATCTACACTCCATACCTCGTAGCTTCTGAATCAACAGAATCCGCAGAGTACTCAACCTGCCGACGAGGGGTAACGAGTAGCGACTAGATCAAAAGTTCATCGCTTGTGAGTGACAGCTGGCTCAATTTAGAAAGGCCTATTGTTAGTGCAAACTTAAAGGTGTTTGTACGATTGTACAAATTTCCTAAATATATTATTCCACCTACCATTACGTACTGTGTGTACGGATATAGCTCTAGCAAATTTTTTCGTCAATGTTTACCTTAATGTTAAACACTGTAGTTTCCACTAAGTGCCCAAGTTTTTTTTTTTTAGAAATAACTTGCACTGAATGGTTTTCAAACAACAATCACTCATTGAATAAAACTATTATTAACGGATTTTATCGAATTTAATTCAAGAAATCATTATAACAATCACTCATTTACCATCGATAAAACTATATGATCATGAAGAACTTATAGTAAGACCAGCTTACTAATATGGTTAAAATAAGAGGGATATAAAAAAATCTAACAATGGTAATTTTTTTATTACGAGTATTAAATCTTTTCTAAAACTTTTCAGTAGCTACCCTATCTAGTTATCAATTGTCAAAATACTTTGTTTTACGACCTGCTTTAACGCTGCTACCGTATCTTTTGGCGATGTAAACTAATTCTTTATAAGAAGATTTTCATTTTGTAGAATAAGAAGTCACTCAGTGCCAAATCCAAACAGAAGTCGCTTTAGCGTTGAATACTCTGGCGCGTTTTTATGGTGAAGTAGTAGCCCGCGGAGCCCTGTGCTTAGCTGATTATTACTTACAGCAGTAAACTCTTCTGGCAAGCAATTGGTAGTACACTATTTGTCATTTATGATACTTCGATTCTCTCGATACCGTGTCAAAGAGAAAAAACTAGAGATCAAAATCTTCACTGCACCAATATCAAAACTTTATTCGCAACCTTTCTGCATGGCCTGTAGTAAATAATAAGCTAATACTCTATAACGCACTCATTGTGTTATTCCACATCATAAAGTAAATCATCGTCTGTTAAATGATATCTTTTATGTACCATCTCATCAGTTCCATCATTTTATTGAGTTTATCCTGAGTACGGACTAGAATACTTCGTGACAGACCAATAAACTGTCATTCTATCAAATTTATAACCGGGCTTCTGTTTACGATGTTCACCTCATCCATTAGAATGCAGAAATATTGAAGCGCGTTGGCAGGGACCATTCGATTCGATATAAGATATGAAGCAGTAAAACGAATGAACAAAAATTGAATCCATTCAAGCGAACAATCGATGTGTGTTAATTGCGTGCTCTCAGTTATCTTTTGAGGTTGTCGAACTTGCCTTTTACGGACGCAACGGACGCACGTGGTCAATTAAGTGCACCATACATATTTGGTTAATACATATTTTGTACTCCTTCAAAAATCTCACTGTAATGATTTTATTTATATTGTCTCTTCTAAGTGAGAAATTTTTCGCATAAGCAATAAAATAAATCAATGAATTAATTTAATTAAAAATTACTAAATACTTTAAAAAAACCTGGTAATCATTAGCAACAATTTTTATAAACTAAATTTTTTAATTCGCTGTTGGACAAAGCTTTTGCTCCACGTACGTTCACCGCCATGAAATTAAGTTTGACACTTGAAAAAACTATATAGGTATTTATGCCCTTTATGCTTTAACTATTTAAATTGAAGAGCCTTTCTAAAAGAATCCGTATTAATAAAATGAAATTTTATAAGTATTACAAGAATGAAAAGTATATCTAGGTATATTCTTTCATATTTGTAATTTTAAGCCTTGATACACATTTCCGAAATGCTTCGAGTTTATTACAAATCCATAAAATATATACTATTACATTATTTATTTTTCTTTTTCGCATTCTTTTACATTTAAAAAATATAATTAAATTATTTGTAACTATATTTACTTAAACATCAACACCTTTATTTTCAACCAAAGCGAGATTTATTGCACGGTCGTTGAAGCTGTATGCTTATCAGAACATGCGAAATGAGCGTGGAGTTGGAACGAAACACCCCAATTATACTAACAAGTACTTTCACCACTGATAACGTCCAGTTCAAGGTGATCCACAAGCACATTATTCTTTCAATGACATGTATACTAACGAATAAATCTGGGTTGATAAATATTGTAACACTCTCGGTGAAGGAACTTTTATTACAGGAACCAAACGATTTATCCTTTCATTTGTCTGGTTGTTTAAGGTGCCCTAAATTTATATAACAAGATATTTAAATTTGCAGCAAGCGACCTTTTACTTCGTGATGTCGATAACTGGACGCTTCTTCTTTTGTAATGTATGCAACAAATAATAAATAAGTTCTTTTCGAAAAAAAAATTAAGCACTTATTCCTTAGATTGGCGTCTTACTAAAAGTAAACTTTTCCTGTTTATCTGGCGAAGGTCTAATTATAAATAAAAGGTGGTATTATAAATAAAATGAAAATGCTTAGATCGTATAAGTAGAAAGGAATCTTTACGAAAATAGATCTTATTAAAGAAGACTAACGATAGAAACGAGGTAGAGTAACGGAAACCAAAGTGACAGAACCGAATGAAAACGGTAGCACAAGGTAAATATTAATTAAACTGAGTGATCACAATCGAAGATACGGTTGCCGCTCCATCCATGGTAATTGGAATCGAAGCAAACCGCTTTACAGATTCTTAAATTTTGCAAAAATCTTTAAACATCAGTTAATTAAAGTGCCCCTTTCGCTCGTGCACCGGATAATCGCTACAACTTTATTGACTGCGAAATTTAAAAAAGGACAATGCACCTTTCTCTCGAATCAATATTATAATAACTAGTGGTTAGACCACACGCTAATTCGAATTTCTCTGACCGACCCATTTTGGCAGGTTATACTTCACAAAACAATGATGTTTAGTTTAATATGACCTAAAAGCCTACAAAACTAACGTTAGCGAAAATCAGACACGTCATTTTTTAAGACGCTTAAAGCTTTGTAATTAGAAAATAATTACATCCTCCAGCTTACTATTCAATCAACATCGTGTAGTAAAAATATTAAGTACATATATCGATTGTGTACGTTGTATTATTCACTGTGAACTCTATCTGACATCAATTCGCGTTTATTATTTTGTAGGCGGGCTCCGAGACTAATATCCAACGTTTATGTATATATGTATGTTGGTGTCCCAGCAGACGTGTGACCGGGTGACTCACTCGCGCAGGCGATCGCCGGCATGCGGCTGAAGCCCTCTATAAATACAAATGCAGTTGGCATTTAACCGAGCTCTCGATCTATGATCCCGAAACGCATTCTA